GGGGACATGAATCAAATATGTATCTTTATTCATTTACAATAAACTCATAAAGTACATCATTCTGATTGAAGCTAAGGGCATACAAAACTGTCTAACACATTTATGCTCGTGGTCATTTTGAACCCCATGTGGGCCCCCACCTATAGGACCTGGGAGAGGGGTGCCTAACCCCTTCCCTCTCTCATCCAAGTCTTTCCTAGACTGGTTAGTCGGTGCCTTGGGCTATTGGAATTACTATTGAACCTAAATGATTTTAATGCCATTCTCTAAGGTCCCATGACCTCCATTTCCTAATCTGATGGGTGGCAACTCCATTTTCAGCCCAAGTGGTACGTGAGCCCATTTTTTTCAATGGTCACAAATAAATAGATAGATAGAGAGATTGCAGAGAAATCATATTTGAGATCATAGAGAGAGTCGATGTTGCATTGTCGTTGTCGTCTCCATCGCCATCATTGGTGAACATAGATGATCTTCCTCCTTCTTCCCTCTTTCCCTCCTTCATTCTTTCCTTCCTTTCTTTCATTTCTCTCATTCCTTTCCTTTTTTCCTTTCTCTCCTCCCCTCTCTCTCCTCTTTCTTTCCTTTATTTCCTTCTTTTATTCTTTTCTTTCTTTATTTCTTTCCCAACCGAGTGCCAACAGCCAGATACGTCTCTTTTTCTTAATAAAAGACTAAACTGTTTGAATCGTTTGACCTGGACAATTTAATCACTGACTCGAAAATCGGTGGCCATAACAGTTTCGTTTTTGGGTTGGTTTTTAAAACCCTGATTTGATCATTTCTAGTATTGTACCAAACACAAAGAGAAAGTGAGGGGAGGGGATTTGATTGAATGGAAATGTAAAAAGTATAATGTTTATTTTGTAAAATGTCCTTCAAGTTTTGTACAAGTATTTTAAAATTCCTTTTGCTCATATTTATCCTTTTAATTCATTTTATTAATAGTGTATAATCTGATGCAAATTGAAATTGTCTCAAATTTTATTTGACAGATAAGATCTGACTTGAATTCAATGTAAACAAATCAACCTTGGATCTACATATATCCCATTCAATTCAATCCATTTCAAACCCAAAGAAAGAGAAGAGGATTGTAAACCCCTTTCTCCCTTTGTTACCGACATGTTTTATACCATTGGTGTTTTTTGAAAAAAAAAAAATGGTGCCATGTCATTGCTAGTTAGGCGAGGGCATTTATTTGGGCTTGAACCACTATTTGGTTCATGTGTTTATCAAAAAAATGCCAAAAAACATTGTTGCCTCGATTTTGATGAAAAAGCTTCGATTTCTTTTCACCTAATCGTTTGGGAATGCTTTAAATTCTCACTTCCCCAATGGTCGGGCATTTCGTCAAATGCTAAAACTTACCTAGCATGACATGTCAATTGAGCTGGCTGAAGTTTGAATTGATCCTATGTATCACAGGCCACCAAAGTGCAACAAAAAAAAACCCTAATAGACAAGTATCTGCTTAAAGGTAACTCAGTCGCATACAACCACTACAAGTATCTGCTCGAAGGTAGTCCATCATCTTCTATATAAGAGGTTTAGCGATGGGAAAAAAATCGTCTTTGTGCCATTTGATGCTAGTATGCCCGTTCGGTTGGTAAGCCCTTTGTTCTTGCTTTTTTTTTGAGAAAAAAAGTCAATAACTTTCCTTTATTTTGTAGGTTTAGCCCTAGATCTATTACCATAGCACAACCAGAATTGCCTTCTTTACAAGAGGTTCGACAACTAGGAAAAACAATCATTATCAATCCGTTTGACGTCGGAAGGCCCATCTGATCGGTAAGCCCTTTATTTCTTGATTTTTTTGGGAAAACAAAGCCAATAACTCCCTTTTTTTACAGGTTTCGCCCTAGATCTATTACCAGAGCAAAACTAGTCCCATTTGGTCACTCAACTCTTCATCCCTAGCTAGTCCCATTTGAGCTTTCATCCAATAAAACTTCTAATTTCTGTTAGTCTTCTTCACATAAGCTTAAACATCATAAATAAAAAAAATCCACTTTCAAAGTTTATTTTCAAGGTGCAAATAAATATTTTTTATATAATAATTTTTTGATAAAAAAACATTTTACTAATAAAATATTTTTTCTTGAATCCAAAAATAAAAGAAAGTTACAAATAATGAATAAGATGGGGTTAGGAGAAAAAATAAATAAATTGCATATAATATACATCAATAAATATCAATTTCACACTTTGAGGATCTATACCATACATTTTGACCATTAGATGTGCTTTGCATCATAGATCCACCATTGGATTTGAAAATTGACCTTTACGTGTAAGCTTGGGTAATATGGACCATTAGATTGAATAGTGGCTCCTACACATCCAAATGAAAGTGTCACACTGAAACACTCATATAGTTGTTTCTTGAAACGCGCCACCAAACAACCAACCCATGAGAAAACGTTTATTTCTACTAAGTTGTAAAGTAGCTTTAGGGGTTGTTTCTTGAAACACCCAAAATAGGCCCAATCAAGCAACCAAACAAAAAAACGTCTAAAGTGTGTTTATAAACGCCCCTCTAGGAAATACCAACGGTACTAAAGATCTACTACATTTGTGAAATTTAACCAATTGATCACAACCCTAATTTAATGTCAACACCTAATTTTTGCTCGGTCCGTCACTTGAGCCTCTAATTCACCTCAAACACCCGATCATATCCTTCCGACCTTCTCCAAAACACCCAAAAACTCAGAAAACCCAAGTTTTACTCGAAAGCCCTTAGATCCATCGTTAAATCTACCCGATACTTATTCGATGGCCCCGATTAACCTTCACTTACACCTCAACCATTAGATTAGACACAACCATCAAACCCAGAACATCCCAAAACACCTACCTATGAAATTTGAACTCAAGATTCCTTCATTCACTCATCCATCAACACAGAGATTCCATTTCGACCATTCTCGTACCCATAACTCATATCCACTTGATCCGAACACATCTAAACCAATCAAACTTTTCCAATCAGCCCAGAATACCAAAACAACCATACATATGAAATTCCAACCAAAACACCTCCATTTACCCTCATTCATATCAAGATTCTATTTCAAGGTTCCAGATTGACCGGATTACAAATCTGCATGTTCCGGGCTCAATTGGCTCAATATGATTTTACCAATCATCTTAGACTACCCAAAAACCCTACCCTGAGAAATTTCACCCAAAACTGCTTTTATTTTCCCTTTCATCAAACAAAGATTTCATTTTGAGCCCATAGATTAACCAAATCGAACCCTTTCCAGATCTGCCCAATCTAGGCCTATTCGGGCAAATCTGACCTCGCCAGTCAACCCAGAATGTCCAAAAACCCCACCCCATGAAATTTCATTCAAAACTACCCTTATTTGCCTCTTCATCCAAAAAGATTCCATTTTGGCCAATCTCACTAGCCCTCACGCATCAAAATCCTTCTTAACCATCATACCCATTTTAACCCTCCATTTTCTGACCCAAAAATCCCCACCATTGAACCAAAAACCCGGCCTAACCCCTTTAGACCCGGTTTGATCTAGCTTTTCCGAAATTACAAAAATACCCTTGAATTCCCCAAAATTATAAAAATACCCCCTGCCCCATATAAATTCAATTTGAACTTTCACTTGCCCTACACGACTATTGCTCTTCCCCTTCTTTTGAACCCAACCCAGAAGAGCAGCATAATCCACTATTCACCGTCTCTCCCATTCGAACGATAAACCAAAGCGGCGGAGTGACAACAATCCTCATCTCTGCCCTTCTTCTTCTTCTTCTTCTTCTTTTCCATTTTTTTCTACCCTGGATCGAAAGTTTCCCGCCACTGTTCATCGTCATATTTGTTGAACAGCGACGACACTCTTTCCCTCTCCCAAAGACCCTCCTCCATTTTAATATCCTCATCCTTTTCGTTTCATTTTTTTTTATTATTTTATTCATTCAGTGAAATCGCCTCTCCTTGCTCCAGCCGTTGTTACCTCTTGCTATGAAGAACAAAGCACAAAATCATCGGCGGAAGCATCGTCTTCTACCAGATCCGGTAAAGGCTCCGTCATTTTCGGTGTTGCTTCTCATTTCTCCACCGTTTTCCGGTGGTTTCTTCTCTTATCCCGCATTCGGTAGCAGACCGTGACCTCCCCTGTCTGCGAGCTTGAGTCAGGCAAATTGCGGTGGGTAGCCCAACTTGCTCTGATTTAGGAGGAAGCAGGATCGATTGATTTGCCATAATCTTTAATTTCGACCCCCGGAGCACATCGGACTTACTCGGAGTTCATATTTGCAGCATCGAACATCGGCCAACACATCATTCAGGTAAGCTAAGGTCAAACTCCTTTTGTGTTTACTTTGACAGGGAGGATTCGAGGTTAGGGTGTTGACCGATGGAGTAGATTCCACCAGATTCACTCCAGTAGGTCTTATTCCCAACCCAATCCGATCTAAAATCTATTGCCTGGTCCATGTTTAATTAGATTCCATAGTTGCTTCAATGGAGTTTAACTGTTCTTTCTGCATAGTTCCTTAGCCCTGAGAATAGATCTTTCTTATGCATAGTGATGTTCTAGTTATTCGTCTAGCTCAACATTTCTTTTATTTTTATTTCATTTCCACCCGTTAATATGTTAGGTTGTTTCATAATGATAATTCTATCTTTGGAGATCAAGATATGATAAAAAGGGAATGCTGAAATTCATATCCTGTTTTGAAACTGTGTTGATCACTAGTTTTATTCACAGTAAATTCTCTTAACTTTCATAGTTCATGTATGGACTATAATGTTTGAATTGAGGCTTTGGCCAGATAGGATGGATGCACTCAGGCTTAGAAACATGCTGGGCCTACCCCTACCGAACTTGGGATGAGAGATAAAAACTAAAAAATTAAAAAAGCCTCAAATTTTGAAGTGAGAAATAGATAAAAATAATAAAATAAAAATTTATAGAATTTACTTTCTTATTGGTTTAACTTTGTTATCTGTTTTTCTCATTATCATGTTGAGTGACTAAGTGTATATTGTGTTTATGCTTTTTTGGACCCTATGTGGGCCCCACCTATTGAACCCAGAAGAGGGGTGCTTAACCCCTTCCTTCTCCCTTCCGAGTCTTACCCAGATTGGTTGGACCGGTGCCTTGGGTTACGGGAGTCACTATTGAACCAAAATGATTTTAATGCCATTTTCAAAGGTCCCATCACCTCAATTTCCTAATCTGATGGGTGGTGACTCCATTTTCAGCCCAAGTGGCAAGTGAGCCGGTTTTTCGACGTTTACACTTAGTCAATAGGTTGATGAATAAATCCACAAACAAGGTAAAACGACTAGTCCAAAATATAATTACTTGTTACATTAAACTTAAAAGTCAAAAGCTGCAAAAAATCAAATTTAAATTAAATAGAAAATCAAATATAATTGCAAAAAAATAATTATTAATTGTTAAATATGATGAAATATCAATGAACCACTCAACCTAAAGCTTAAATTGTTATGTAAGATCCCCTAAATAGGTTTTTGTTCTCTAACACACCCAACCTTGACATGAAAGGACAAGCACAACCCCACCCATACCTTGTGATGAAATTTAATCGAATGATAGACCACGTAGTTAAACATGCTATGATACCATATCAATGAACCGTTCAACCTAAAAGCTTAAATTGTTAGGTGGGGTTTTATTCTCTAACATAAATACTCAAAAAATTTGCATAAAAAGTGATGAATAATTATAACAAGCATGATAATGGTGCTGGTCATGTCAATCTTAACCCAACCAATGGTTAAACCATGAAATGTGCAAGAAATCATTGGTCTATCACCTAAATAGATGTCATTTCCTAAATGTAGGATGCCTCACTTAGTGCAATTTATTGGAAATGTGAGAAGTTACCTCTCCATCCCTTTTTGATTTATATACAATAGTATAAGAGATGCAAGGAAATATTAATCATATATGATACATGATATTTAAATTTAAGTTTAAGAACCTAACAAACCACCACGAGTATCAGATTTATATAGTATAATTAAGATAAGATGTTAAATATGCTTATAATTCGAGGTAATTTGTAGATGACCACCCTATACTTATTGGGTGGTAACACTCAACCTCCAAAACTTTATTTTTGGGAAAAGGCTTCTACACTTATGAATTCTAGCACTTTGCCCCCTAATACTAAAGTGTTGACAATGAAAGTAAAATTATTAAACTAGCTACTTGAGATTCTATGGGTTGTAATGAGGGCGGATTTGGCCCTCCAATGATCTTGTGACACCTGGCACTTCATGACAACTAGACAGTTCGAACTCGCCACTTATAGGCAGCTTGCCCTCATATAGCCTGGCAACTTAGACAACTCGGCACTGTACAAGTAGCTCGCCACTTGGCAGCTTGCCACATGCAACTCGCCTCCTAGTCAGACTGACCACCGCATGACAACCTCGAGGAGCTCACCACCGTACCCCGCATTTTACGGGATTATGACTTGTAATGGCTATATTAGCTCACCCACTCCCCGAGTCAGGCAGAAATGGGCAACCTTACCGATTGGTAGCTTTATCCCCACCTAACACGAAAGCAGGTCCTGTCACAGTGGGAATTCAGGAACTGCTCCACCAAACCCACGAAGACTCTAGTATATAAAGACCTCACCCCCCAGGGGCGAAGGTGGGAGGTGATCCTTGCTCTCTAGCTCTCTCATTCTCTTATGTCATTTTTAGCTCTACTACTAAGTATTGACTTAGCCATCGAAGCAACCTCGCCGAGTAAACACCCCCGGGTTCTCTGATTCAGTTCTCACAGGTTCTTCAGCTCCCATCGTCTACAAAGATGAGCAGATCATCTCCTTTAGGGAACAACCAAGTTGCACTACACTAGGGAGCTCCACTTTAGCCTCTGAGTCACCGGCCACTTGGGGGCAGACGAGGTGATGATGTACTTAGCCAAAAAAAAATGATACGTGACTAGAAATAGTTACATCAGGTCGATAGAAACAAACATATAAATAATTGTTCTAAAAGCACAAACCTTTGTGAAGGCATTCTCAATATGAATTTTATTGAAAGAAAGTTCAGATAAAGATGCAAGGGTTAGAGTTTGAGGAAAAACCGATAAGGGAAAAATTGTCTTACAAAATCATTTCTAGTTTGTTTCATTGATAACATGATATTATCATGAGAATTTTTTTGGTTTAACTTATTTATATTATTCAATTTAGTAATTCGAATTTGATATAAATCTAATGGATAAGACCTGATTCAAATTTGAAATAAGGCTACCTTTGAGAAGATGCAAATGCACATGTGACATGTTTAGTGCAAACATAAAAAACTTTGTATTTACATTTTTGTTTTTCACCTTACATAGTTGTATTTGTACTCTTTTTCAAAGAAACCCTAAAGATTTTTTTTCGTCCTAGGCTTCCCGAAAGTTTTTTTTTTTTTTTTTGTTTTTTGCATAAATTATAATGACCCCTTGTATAGCTTTATTTGGGACAAAATCCCCTTGAATTTTCACTTTGTGACAAATAACCTTAGCCTTTAGTCTTATGATGAAATGCATTAAATTACCAAATTGTTTATGTGAACTTTCCTTATTTGCTTTTTCTTGCCTTATTCTCTTAAATCCTAATTGACCAAAAATACCTCTTTCAAACAAAACCAGTTAAAATAACAAAAATCATTTCACTTGCATAATAAAAATAGCTTTTTTTTTTTAATTCTTGATTTATTTCACTAACATGAATATCTCTCATCATCTTAAAATATAACATTTATTCACGCATTTCTCCAATAAATAAAAAAAACCAAATAAAACAATAAATTTATTTCTATTAGATAGAAGGGTAAATTACACATACCCTTAGTACAAGGGGTCTATGACAAAGACCCCCTTGTACTTTTGTTTTGCGAGAAACACCCCCGTACTTCGACCGTTAGACAAAAGACCCATTTATTAGTGTTCCATTAGTTGAATTCAAAAAAGATTCTCATTTGACTGTTAAAAATTTTCTAAATACCCGAATTACCCTTTTCTAATCATGGCAGCATGCCAGTTCGTCTGAGACAAGAAGCACATCATCTTACGTCTCAATCACCCACTTTCCCATTAGTACTGCTTGCTTGTTTTGACTTTGGTGTGGTGTAGGAAAAGAGAGCTAAGGAGCCAGATGTGGCTGAGTTCGTATTTGCACTGCCTCCGGAAACAACTCGTAACTCATGGTAGAGGTATGCGCAAGAGTTGCAAGGCTCATTAGATGGGTGGCAAGGTGGTGTGCATTACCAATATAAGCTTTGAAAATTTTGTTAATTAAGCAAATGTTTTATGGGGTGTGATATGATGTCATATGGCCACTTTGCCTTTACCCATGAGAATGGAGAAATGAATTTTCATTTATGTTGTTTCCTTGGATGGGCCGAGGGCAACAAGGTAATTATACTTTTGAGTCGAGGGCTGGTTGATGAGTCCGAGGTCCTGTAGGTCAGTCTTGCGTAGGAAGAGATCACGTCAAAGGCCTCGAGTGTTGATCTGAGGCAGAGACTTCGATGGTCAAGTTAATGAGACTATGGTAAGGAAAGATGAGGCCTGAGCAAGTATAGCTCATATAAGGTCACAATGGAAGTAGTAGAACTCCAAGTAGTATAGTGTTTATATGGGTGTGTGTCTTACCTTGGGGGGCGTCACCCCGTATTTATACTTGAGGCTGCCAAGAGGTAGGTGGGCACAAATGGTCAGGATGCAATCTGGCCCTACGTGCGTGACCGTCTAAGGTCACCACATGCGGTCGTGCCATGATGCACACCAGCTTCTGCTCCGCACGATGTCCCTACTGGGTCCACGCTGTACGCCGCCCTCTGCCACGTGCTGAAGTGCCATTGGCCAGCTATAAGCGCCGACATCAATTTCTATTGGTGAAATAAATAGTAGATGCATCCTTACTCAGTCCTCCCATCATTGGAAGCTAGTCAGCTACTATGAAATGATTCCTTGTTCTTGTTGTCTGTTAATGATGGTACATTATGTCCCTTATCCATAAAGGAAAAGCCCAAGCATGCACGATGAGAGATGTTCATTTGGCAGCTACGGCTGCCGGCGTGCCGCCCAGGCCATAATGTCAGAGAACAAAGGCAGCAACGACAACAATGAGAAATTTGACAATGATGGCAATGACTTCAGGGCTGAGATTGAATTACTGGAGTTGATCAACAATGAAAAGGTGGTTTGGTCAGAGACAATCATAGAATATTTGCCAGAATTATGTTTTTGGAGTTGTTGTAATTGTAATGATTTGGGGAATTTCTATCAGATTGTTGACAAAAAGAAGGGGGAAATGAACTATTTGAAGATTGTATGAGAGAAGGGGGAAAACGAATTGCGGAAGAAGATATTTTTTCGATCAGTTAGGTTTTAAGAGAAAATGGTAAAAAAAGTTCAGAGGAGTATTTATCACAAAAAAAAAAATACAAAGGGCCTTTGTCATAGACACCATAGTACAGGAGGGTATATAATTTACCCTAGATAGAAATCACTACCATCTCATTTAAATATTGAATCCGAACAGACCAAGGATTTATTAAAATAATTAAAAAGACATTGAAATTAATAAAATTGGAAGCCGAATCAACCTCGTAACATTCCACATCGGGAACATCTCCCAATCATGACATCATCATTCTTGGTATTATCATCTAGAGATGTTTCCAATACGGTAGACAACAAGAATGTGTTGTAGGGGGCAGTCTTGTGGGGGCTGATTTGAACTCATAAAATTATAGTTGATATAGATAAGAAAATGGTACTTTGGAAATTTAAAAAAATTAAACACTTGAATGAGAATTTTTTTTTTTTAAAGTTGGTTGATGAAAATTAAAAAAAGAGAGGTATTTATCTCCAAGTGAAAGTTCACAGGGTCATTAATCACAAATGAAAGTTTAAGAGGGTCTTTATCATGTCTCCACAGTACAACTACAAGGAGGGTGTTTATAATTTACCTTTTTTTGAAGGTAGGTTCTTAGAAAGTCGTATTGTTACTTTGATTTCAGTCACACTGTTGTCGCGGCGCGAGAGTGAAGCGAGAGGTGGAAGGTGTTGTCGTAAACCCTGAAGAAAAACAGTAACGGCAAAAGCCAAACTGACGAGGAGATGGATAAGGAGAAACAGAGGAAGCCAAAGTTGGTGATCGTGATGGGACCAACTGGTTCGGGAAAGTCACGGCTTTCCATCGACCTTGCATCTCATTTCCCTATTGAGATCATCAACGCCGACTCCATGCAGGTGCCTGCTTTCCCTTCAAATCCACTTCCAATCCCACCCCATGGATATCACTAAATCCATCATCCATACTTGTTTTATTTGATTTTAGGTGTACGAGGGTTTGGATGTTCTCACCAACAAGGTTTCCCTCCATGAACGCAAAGGTTCCTTTCTTTTTCAATATCATCTTTCTTTGTTTTTTTTTCCTGTTCTAGCTCTTTTCTAACATTTTATTTGTCAAATGAAACGTCCAATATGATTTTGCTTTCTCGTCTTACATTTTGGATTGGATGTTATAGGAGTACCACATCATCTTTTGGGTACTATCAGCCCAAATGCTGAATTCACGTCCAAGGATTTCCGTGATTCTGCAATTCCTGTATGAATTATCTATCTCCAACTCATTTTCATAGTGACCCATCTTTCCGTTCATCCATATTGATCTTTTGTTTTATGTACCTGCATAAAACATGTTATAAATACCAAACGGGTGGTTAAAGTTTGTGACTTGCATATGGGTTGAAGACTTGAAGTAGTAAAAAATGATTTAAAGGCTCATAACTTAACAGTGGATATGACACTGAACAGAGAGGAATGGGGGAACAGGATTCATGTAGCCGGCTCCATATAGTTGGGGTAAGGCTTAGGTGATGATGATGATACCTATCAAAAATAATAAAAATGTGATTTGTCAATAATTATCGTCTTTGTGTACCCATTATTTGTGAAATAAAGGGCTGCATTTTCAACGATGGAGAAAAATTTAAATTGTTTATACATTTGATATTACAAGTTCACTAGCTTGGATTCTATAACTTTGCTGCCAATATTTTCTTTTATATTCTTAAACACTTCTCGAGTTCCTGTTGTGTTAGTTTTATTCAAGTGTGATGTTCTTTTGCTTTATTTTGTAACTGGTCCTTAACAAGCAACACTAGAAAAAATTGATGTATTTCCTTTTTGCATATTACTAAGTAATGTTCTTTAAAATGTGTGTTGTCATAATTTATGAAGATTCTCTGTCCAGTTTAGTCAAGTAGTGTCCTGATTTTATATCAGGCTTTTCATTTCAATTACATCATGCATGTATTGTATGTATTATGACATAGTTTGTTCATCTAAATGGTAGGAGAAATTAGTTTTATTCATACTCCCACCTGGGTAGAATATTCACATTGTCTACATAACTGTTTATGGTGGGAGATTTTAAGTTTCATTGATGCAAAAGTTTTTAGGCTTATTAATTCATAAATTGTTTTAGAATTGTGAATTCATACTTTACCTTTTGTTACTATCATACTAATAAACTCTCTTAACTCCCTCCTCCCCATGAACTAAAAAAGAAAATTACAGTAACACAAAAAAAACTGATCCCTTCCCACCCCTTGTTTGGCCAATGTATCTGCAAATGAATTAACACTCTTAACCAATTGCAATCTCACTTCCATACCCTGGGTCAGCCACTTGAACAGTCTTTGTTCATTAATATAAGTCCACATACCTTCATCCTCCTTCCCTAACCAACCTATCAGCACTTTTGAGTTTGTTTGAATTCTTGTCTCTGTTACTTCCTTTGATTGTATTTATACATTCTTGTTACAAATCTTGGAAGTTATGGGGTTGTTATAGTCTGTTACAATCTTGGAAGTTAATTCCCACTTCTTGTTGCATTCGGCCATGCCAACCTGTCATTAGTTGGACCTGAGAGCTGATGTGGCTTCCTTCTTTTGTAGGTCTTGAGTTTGGACTGGCTATTCCCATACACTGGCCTGAGTTCAGTGTTGCCGATTGTCCTAACAATACCCCCCTTGTCAAGGTTGACCTTGGCCTCAAGGTCAAGATGGGGAAACTGGTGGTGGAGTTGGATATAAGGCTCCTAGGTTGCATCTTCCTTGGGTAATTGAGACCATGCTACTAGAGCTTCAGGTTCCACATGGTGTCCTTTCTTTACCCAACGAAAGTCACTAATGGACTGGGGTTCAGTGACTAAGGCCATGTCTTCAGTAATCTTGGGTAGAGTGGGCTAACTTACTACATTAGGCTTGAGCCCCTTCTTTAGAACTGAAATGTGGAATGCAGGGTGAATTTTTGAATGTTCCGGTAGCTCTAAGCTGTAGGAAAGCTTGTCTATCCTTTCAACGATCTTGAAGGGCCCAAAGTAGTGTGGAGACAACTTATTCCAGCATTGTTATCTTACTGATAGTGAGTGGTAGGGGAGCAATTTCAGATATACAAAGTCACCTACTTGATATTCCACTTCCCAGTGGTGTTTGTCATAGGCGTTCTTCATCCACTGTTGTGCTTGAGCTCTTGTAGAGTAGCATCCTGTTGGGTCAATGCTTCCTCCAGACCCCTTTTCGTAAGGTAGTAAATCGGGGGGGGGGTCTTGACCATACAAGGCACGGAAAGGTGTCATTCCCACAGCTGCATGATAGGTGGTGTTATACCACCGTTCAGCCCAGTGGAGCCATTGGGTCCAACGTTTGGGTGTGGACCCTGTAAAATAACGCAGGTAAGTGTAAGTCTCCAAGCATCTGTTGACTACCTCAGTTTGTCCATCCGACTGAGGATGGTAGCTAGTTGATTTCCTTAGCTGAATTCCCTGTATCCGGAATAGTTTCCTCCAAAATGTACTAAGGAAGGGGTTGGAGCAGGCCTGCTGGAGATTGGGCCTCGTATTTGCATTGTTGACAAATCGTACAACTTGCAATGTACTTCTGGATCATTCTCATCATTCCTTTCTAGTAGAATTGTGATGCAATCATGCAACGCGTTTGTATGTTTGGAGCACCCCTGAATGACCCCCTATGGGTGATGCATGAAAGTAATCTAACAATGTAATCAGGCTCAGCTTGCTATGAAAGGTGGTTTTTTGTCTGTTGCAGTTTGGGACTTGTTGCTGCCTCTTCCCAAATCTAGTCCCAGAGTTCTGGGTGTCTCGACAGTGCATCAGCAGCCTTGTTGGTTGTTCCTGGTCGATATTCAATTGAATAATCGAACCCCATGAGCTTTAGGCCCAATGTTGCTGATCTGGTGATAGAATTCTCTATCCCAGTAAGAATTGAGACTTTGATGATCAGTTCTGATTATGAACTTGCGCCCCAGTAGATAGGAACGCCAAAGTAAGACTGCCAAGACTGCGACTATCAGCTCCCTTGTGTACACTAAGCTAGATCCTCGCTGAACTGAAATTGCTTTACTAAAAAAGGCAAGGGTTTTCCCTTCTTGCATTAATACAGCTCCAATCCCTTGACCTGATGCATCCCACTCTATAACAAATGTTTTGTTGAAGTCAGGTAATGTTAATGCTGGTGGTGAAGACCGGGCCACTTTGAGATTTTAAAGGCCTGCTAGGCTTCTGGAGTCCATGTGAATGCATCCTTCCTTAGTAGATGTGTTAATGGGCTAGCAATGAGGCCATAACCGCTAATGAAGCGACAATAGTATCCTGTCAAGCCCAAGAAGGCTCGAAATTCCTTCACACTTGTAGGTGCGGGTCACTGCTGGGTGCTTGCTACTTTCTCGGGGTCCGCCATTACCATGCCTCCTTTTACCATGTGGCTGGGGTAGTGTACTTGGGATTGTCCAAAAGCACACTTGGATGCTTTCGCATATAATTGATTTTGCAAGAGAACCTTGAAGGTGATTTCTAGATCTTCCATGTGTTGGGCCCATGTGGGGCTATGGACTAAGATATCATCAAAGAAAACCAGTATAAACCGACGTAGGTACGGACAAAATAAATCATTCATGAGGGATTGGAACGTTGCTGGGGTATTTGTGAGCCCTAAGGGCATGACCCGGAATTCATAATGTCCATCATGTGTGTGAAATGCAGCCTTGTATATGTCATCCGTGTGCACTCTAATCTGATGATAGCCGACCTGTAAATCTAGTTTGGAAAAAATTTGGGCTTCCTTGAGCTCGTCCAGGAGCTTGTCAATCATTGGGATTGGGAACCAATCCTTGACGGTGATGTTATTAAATGCTCTATAGTCAATGCAGAAACGCCATGTCCCATCTTTCCTTTAGACTAAGAGGACTGGGGAAGAAAATGGGCTATGGCTTGGTTGGATGAATCGTTTTTCTAATAGTTACTTAACTTGCTTCTTGATTTCTTTTTTCTGAGATTGAGGATAAAGATTGGGACTTACATTTGTGGGGGCTGCTCCTGGGAGTAATGGAATGCGATGGCCATGTTCCCATGAAGGCGGTAGATCTGTTGGCTCCTGAAATACTGCTGCATATTGTTGAAGTGCTTTCAGCTATTGCTGATGGTCTTCTTGTGTGGTTGCATTCCGGGCCTGGGTTAGCATGGGCCCTGTCTGAGTGAGTCCCTAGAGGATGGTTTGAGCGGGTTCCTGGGCTTGTTTTAGGAGAGACGAGAGGCTGATTGGGCTTGGGCCTTTAGTTGGTATACCTTGGAGGTGGATCTTGGTCTGATTTGTCATGAACTCCATTTACAACTGGGCCCAATCACATAGTACCAGCCCCAATTGTCTCAGCCCTTGTATCCCCAGTACTATATCGGCTTCGCTGAGCTCGAGTGGGTATAAGTCCACCATGAATGGCTGCCCTTTGATTGTCAGTTCAATGCTTGCACAGATGCCTTCATAAGGGAGAGATGTCCCATTTGCTACTTGGACCTTGAATGCCGCTGTGGGTTGGATTGGTAGCTCCAGTTGTTGGGCAAACACTCCTGTTATGAAATTCAAGGTGCTTCCACTGTCGATCAATATGGACACCTGGTGTCCTTTGATTCGCCCTGAAACCCTCATAGTTTGTGGGAAGTTGAGCCCGGTAAGGGCTTGGAGTGATATCCCCGATGCCGGTTGCTGTTCTTCGGGCCAATTGAATCCTGGCAATTCGTTGGGATGTATCCCGCTTTTCGCTCCGTCTTCGGTGTCATCTTGGAGGGTGTAGATCTGCATTGTTTTACACCGGTGGCCCGACCCAAATCGTTCTTCACAATTGTAGCAGAGACCCTTTTCTCTGCGGGCTTGCATTTCGGCTCACGATAGCTTCTTGAAGGGAATGGATGGGTTGGTGTTCATAATTCTGGGCTTACACAGAATGCTGTCTTCCTTCCCTGGGCTGAATCCTCGCTATTGTGTTCGTCAGGCTCAGGCCTTGGAAAGCTGGCCGATCTTTGAGGTGGTAACCAAGGTCGGCTGAGTTTCCTTGCTTTGTTCAGCTGTTCTTCTTGATTCTTGGCTAGGGCGGCAACATCCATGATGGTGGCCGGTTGGAGTGCCCTTACTTCCAGTTTGATGTCTTCCTTGAGCCCTCCGATGAAGTCTCCAACCATCATGCGCTTTGGCCAACCGTGTGCACGTATGGCTAGGCGCTCAAACTTTGTTTGGTAGTTGTGAACACTCCCAGACTGTTGGAGTTTGGAAAGACTCATTATAATCCTTGTATCCTGATTCCAAAAACCGGATGCAGAGTGCTAACGTGAAATCCATCCAGGCTAGCTGTGGTCGTCGTCGTCGGAAAAGATTGGAAATGCGATTTTGGTGTTTCTTTTTGGCCATGAACTGCTCTGTCAGCTGTTGCCGTGACTTCCTCCTTCGTTGGGATTGACATCCTTGTTTCCCTCACCTTCTGTCTGATCGAGCTTCCTTACCAGAGCTGCTAGTGTGTCCTTCGATTCTCTGATGTCTCCGGATACTTGAAGGAGTTCTACTTCAACTTGGTTGACTCTGGCACCCATCGAAGTTGCTCGTGTGTCCGACATTAGGCTCTGATACCAATTTGTTAGGAACTACCTAACACAGGGTTCTACTGAGGAACCACCTCCTGAGAAGAGAGAGAGAGAGTAAGAGAGGGAGAAAGAGTGAGAGATATAGAAGGAAATAGGGTTTGTTTGAATGCTTGTCTCTGTTACTTCCTCTGATTGTATTTATACATGGGGTTGTTACATTCTTGTTACAAATCTTGGAAGTTATGGGGTTGTTACAGTCTGTTACAATCTTGGAAGTTAATTTCCACTTCTTGTTGCATTCGGTCATGCCAACCTGTCATTAGTTGGACCTGAGAGCTGACGTTGCTTCCTTCTTTTGTAGGCCTTCAGTTTGGGCTGGCTATTCCCATACACCGGCCTGGGTTCAGTGTTGCCGCTTGTCCTAACACATAACCTCAGCGCAAAGTGAGTCCCCAATTCCAATTGAGCCTGAACACATAGCAATTACTACACCTTCCACTTTCCTAAAAACTCCAATCCCTGAAGGCCCAGGGTTACCTCACTGCTGCCATCAATTACTTTCAATAATCAAATTCTTTATGTTACTCATTTGCAATCAGAAGTCCTTTTAAAGTAGAAAAATATTCAGCCATTATAGAGTCTCCAACTCCCATTGAACAGGGTCAATACATTTCCTTCCTTATCTCTTATAACACTTCCAGTTCTAGAAGAGCCTGGGCTGCCTTGGTTGCTCCCATCAAAATTTAGCTTCATGTAATCTTTAAGAGGAGGTGTCCAAACCAAGTTTGCCCTATTCTTCTTAGTTGAACTTGTTGCCTCTACCTTCCAAGTTCTCCATGTGTCATCAAAGGAAATTGACAAAACAAATCCTAACCTATGTATAACCTTGGTCATCACACATTCCTTGATTTCTTGTCCATTCCTCTCTTCTTGGAAAATTCTTGCATTCCTTTCTTACTATATGGTCCAATTCACTGCTGCTCTTGTACACCTCCACATTATCCTCTCTCTTCTCTTTGACCAAACAAAGGTTGAGAAGTCAAATAGCATATTCACCTCCATTGGCAAGTTCCACTTTTACCTAAACAAAGAGAAAAACTAATCCCAAATGTCTGTAGCAAAATGACATGATATTAGTAAGTGATAACAAGACTCATCATTAGATTTACAAAGAAAATACACCAGCTCAGGGAAATGCAAAGAAAAGGTCTCTTCTTTTGCAAAAGATACAAGGTGTTTACTTTCTCATAAAGCACTTCCCCAACAAAAAGCACTAATTTTAGGTGGGACTGTCCTTCAATTCTTGTTTCCATTCCACTCTCAAAATTAGTCCTAAAGGAAAAAACATATATTATCTATACTACTTTAAAAAGCATGAATAGCCTCAAGAATATTTCTGGAATTTTTTGAGGACAAAATTCACCCCTCCATATTTAAATTTATTGATAAAAAATGAGGGCAAATAGGATAATTTGCAATTGATATTAAATGAGTCGAAAAGAGGTAATTTTAAGATATTCAATTCATTCAATTCCCTCTTATTAAATCCAACATTTAAGGTATTAACTTGCATTCACCTTCATTTATAATCATATATTTAAGGTATTTTTGTTTCTTCTCATCATTAAATTCTATTAATTAAATTCATACATAATAAACTAATAATTCCAATAACATAAAAACTTATACTTTTAAAATCTACCTGGAAAAAATAGTATTTTTGTCTAGGTGGTAAGAAATTAAACCATTTTGGGTCAAATCAGCCAATCCATGTTGTCACAATTAAATAATAAAATTCAATAATAGATAAAATGTAGAAAAATTGGAAACATTTTTAACATCATATATCCAACATATTAAACAATAATAAGTATGAAAAATAATAAATGTTTTTATTAATGATGAAAATGGAATGTAAAATTTAAAACCAATTGGAAATAAAACTATTTTCCTATTCTCTCTCATTAAATCTCATATCTAAGGTATATTCTCTCATTAAATCCTATATTTAAGATATATTTTTCTTATCATTAAATTCTACTAATTAAATCTACAATATTAATTTTAATAGTATAAAAATAAATATTTTGAAAAGTAATTTGAAAACAAAACCATTTTCTTCCCTCCCAGTGGCAGGTAAGCAATTCAAGTATTCAACCATTTGTGGTCAAATAGGTTAATAAATAATGCCATTATTAAATAATAAATAAAATATATAATACAAAAATTAAAATAATAAATAATAACAAAGACAAAATCAGATATGTTTACAAACAAATTACAAAAACAATGAGCTGGAAAAAAAGTTAACTTTTATGGCCCAAATTACCCTCCCCAATTCTGATTTTTCTCTCTTCCTTTTTTTTTTTGATAAAGGAGAGTAGTTTTATTAATTAAAAAAATAGCAGTACCACGAGGTGTTACCTCCCCCTAGGACTGAGTCATAAACACTAAACAAACACAAGCCTGATGCACAGTTACAAAGTGGCCCAAAACAGATCTCCCCATTCTATTTCTTTCTTCCTTTCTCTCATTCTATTTCTTCTTCTTCTTCTTCTTGTTCTTCTTCTTCCCCGTCGGCACCATCAAGCATGGTGACAATTTAATCAGTCCGGTGGTTGCCCCTTCTCTCTCCCCCCTCTTCTTCTTCTTGTTCTTCATCCTCCACTATAGCAAAACTGTTGAACTAGCATCTTGACTCCACCAAAATCTCGTGCCCCTCCTCTGAATGACACCAACAATGCAGGAACACATTAGAATCAGTTCTTGATGGTAAATGATCGAGTTACTGGGGAGAGAAAAATCTATTGTTGTAGCTAATCTAGGTTGCAGCGGTAGGCAAAAATGAGGAAGCTGGAGAACATTGAGGTGTTGATAATGAATGGGTGACTGTGCTATTACAGGATAGAGGAAAAGGTGGGAAATAAAAAAAATCACAGGGGACCAGTGGAAAACAAGAACTAATGGGGGTTGGTTTCTAGCGTCGCTGTTGATTTGAGTTGCAGTGACAACGAGAGGCAGAGTAGGGCGATGAGGGGACTGGTTCGGATGATGCAAGGAGAAAGATAGATAGAGAGAGAGATTGGTGGTGGCTAAGTTCGGATTTGCAGTGTTGCAATGACAGTAGTGACAGACCGAAGCATCGTTGTTGGCTATTGGCTTGAGTTATAGTGACGGGTGGAGATAGGAAAAGGCAGAGAGAGAGAGAGAGGGAGGGAGGGAGGGGGACACTTTGAATTGAGTCTCTATCCACTGTAATCAATGCACAAACAGAGGCAAATCAAGCAAACCATTATCATCAATCCACTTCTCATAATTAATAATAAATTGTTTGTCTTTATTGTGAATATTCCATTAATATCTGCATAATGCAAATGCCAATCTCATGAAACTAACAAATGGATCTTTTAGGTTTAAAAAATTGATACCCTGAACTTCATGAACTAAATTTAAGAACTGAATGAACTATTTCTGAGTTGAAGCTTAATACTTGGGTTTGCTAACCTCCCTATAAATAGCGGATTGTGAATCAAGCACAAATGGAATCAAATTATGAACCTGGTGACTGAGGAAGCAACAAGTACCTCCAGTGGATTGGTTATATACCTTTTGTACTTTGTTTGGCTTTTCTTCTCATCTTATTTGTTTACTTGACCAACTTATCTTTGGATTTTGCATTGTGTCATAAACTTCTTTTCCTTTTTTTAACAAGTGTTTAACTATTTATTTTGTGCTTATGTGCTTACATATATCAAGCTTGATATTTAGTATTCTATCACTTGATTTAATAATTGGATTTTCAGACTATAGATGGCATACTCTCCCGCAATTGCTTGCCAGTCATAGTTGGGGGAACAAATTATTATATCCAGGTATGCACTGTATTTTATGTTGCTTTAAAGGAATAGATATTTGAGGTTGTATCTGATATTTTGTATGCAATTATTTCTCTGAGGAAAACAAGACCATATGGAATTGCATATGCATATTTTTACGTTTTCCACTTGCTTTTTTCTCCATCCTGTTTTGTGCCAATGTTCCGAAAATTGTAATCATGTTGTTAGTTGTAGAGAATGCTGATTTATTTGTAAAATACTTTAAATGTATTGTAATCATGGATTGTAAAATACTTTAAAAGTTGGCTGAAATCTTTTTTCTCCTTTCCAAGACAAGGAGAGATCCCTTACAGTAGTGAATGTTTGTATTCTAACCAGGGCTATTCATTGGCTGAAATCTTTGGACTCCTTAGCTCCTTTCCTTTGGATAACTATTGGAGGAATTGGAATGTTATATCCCATTCTCTGGTTAAGAAAAACAGATCTGTAACAGTTTGGGCACCTCCTCTAGAAGGTTTTACTAAATTGAATTTTGATGGTGGTAGCCAAGGCAATCCATGACCATCAGGCATCGGAGGATGGAGGGGTTCTGAGAAATGAGGATGGCAACATCATCTCTTTGTTTTCAGGCGCGGGGGAATAGGGGAGTCCAAGGTGATTGTGGGTTGGCTGATGAACCCAGATTCAGTTGTTTGGTATTATAGGGACCTCATAAAAAAGTCAAATGCTTAACAAGACATATAACTCTTAAGAGTCCAATGGGTGGGCAGGTTGGAAAATACTTTCACTGACTCTCTTGCTAAACAAGGGTCCTCTAGGGATGAGTTATTTTGGGCAGCTATGTAATCTCTTTTTATATCCTTTGTAATGATTAGGCGAGGCTGCACCTTATGCCTCTCCAAGGGAAGCTTGTAAAGTTAAATTATGCTTGATTAATGAAATCGATTTTTCAATTATATAAAAAAACTTTAATAGTTTAAATGTTGAATCAAATTGAATTATGAAATGAATTGCATCAAAATCATAAAATTATTTCTGATCTTTTTGTAAAATACTTTAAATGCATGGTAATCAAACTAAACGTATTGTAAAATACTCTTCTTTGCGGTAAAAGGATCATGGATTGGGTTGTCCTTCTTCCAGAGTTTGAGGGGTTTTCAAAAGAAGATCTTGGTGCTGGTTTTTGGAATCTCCTTGAGTTGGTCTAGAGTTACGTTCTTCTTATTTTTTGGTTATAGTCTTTCTTTTTATTGCTATCCTATCTTATTTTACCTTTCTGTATTTCTTGGTGATCTCTCATCATCCTCAGTTGTATCATCTATTATTAATAAATTTCTTCTTTTTTATTTATTACCAAATAATACTTTAAACATCTATACTACAAACTTAAATGTATAGAAAGATGATTTGACCACATTTTCAATCCAAATCTATCATTTTAGTAAATAATAGAACAGATTTTGCAACTTTACACTATAAGTGATGATACGAGCAAGTTTTGCTTCAAGTTCAATTAACCTAAACAATATGACTTTTTAGCCTGCATATGATGGAAAATAAACTGAAAAAAAGGTCTTGAAATAGGTTTTAGATTACTCAAGCAGACCTTATTCTAGCAAGGGTTTTAAAATAAAAGCCCTTCAGGAAAAAAATACAAATACAAACCTAGGTCCTTTCCAAATTGATTCAGTTGTATGGATTGGATGTTAAAAGATTCATGAATGAATTATAAGATTCAAGAAATAATTGTAAGAGTTATAAATTATAATTGAATCAGAAATTCAGAACTGTTGTGATTAATGATTTGAATTTGAATTGTATTTTAAATCATAAGATTTTTACAACTCTTCTCTGTTCATTAATGGTTACTAATATGGACATCCATTTGGGTTGGAATTTTTGTTCTTCTTACTTTTGTATGTTTGTTCAGTAGCAACTTCGTGTCACTCTGTCCAATTAATTCTTGGATCAGTATTCTGTTTCATGACATGAGTTGGTTCATAAATCTTCATCTGCCACTATGATTGGTTGAGCTTGTCTATTGTAAAACTCACTGTGTCAGTTAAATAGAGGTTATCATTATGATTGCTTATCTTCTCAATCTTTGTTATATTTAGAAAAACCTTATTTATTTGGGCATGAGACATGTTTCAGATCCAACAAATCATGCCTGTTTTAATGCTAAAGTGTAATGGATTGGGCATGTATCCAGTACACAGACGGACAGACACATTCTGTTTAAGCTGTATAGTCATACTTTGTATATGAGGTTTTGGAGCTTGTACATGTATTTTCGGGGCTCTGCCCATCAGTAATGAAGACACACCCTCTCAAAATAACTTATTAATTGATGTTTTTTATGAAAAAATGTTGCTATCTGGAAATGCTTATCAAAAACATTATCTTCAGAAAAACATTTTTACCTTTTCTCAAAAAATGTTTTTATGAAAAAAAATGCATTAAGAGTTTAAAAGTCTGGAAAAATATTGCTATCTGGGGTCTTGTGACCGGTGGAATTGAATGCTTCTTAAATTATTGGGATTTGGCTGTTTTTTGTCCAAATACAATATGTTCTTGTATGCATATTCATTGGTTAACCAATCTAAGATGAATCAATGTGACCCAGAATTTTGGGATTAGGCAGATTCAACTGTCAGATTCCCACACTCAAACCCATGTAGCCTAGTATTATCTTTTTTTCCTGTTTTTGGGGAGAGGAAGGGTTTTGGTTTGATAATATCTTGTGAGTGCTGCCTTAATGATTTTTCTGATCTGGATTCCGGTGCTGCCAATGGTTAGAAACAGGCTGGTTCAAGATTGACCTGGAACCAATCTCATAAGGGGTTTGATTAGAAGCACAAGTGCACAACTAATCTAGATGCTGTGGGATCTGAGGGTAATTGGTCCAGAAACAACCTGTTAATATTTTGGGTGTACCAGGTTTGACCTAGTTACTTGAGACAATGTTTTGAAGGCATGCTTCATGTATCCCTACTCTTATGGTTGAGGCTTATTTTCCGTGTGCACCTTACCTGGCTTCTTGATACATTCTGATCAATTAACCTTTTACCTGGCTTCTTGACATGCTTTGGTGACTCTAAGAAAAGAGTGGCGGTAAAGAAGGTGCTTGAAGAGAGGCAACCTAGTCTGGCATTGTTGCATGAGACAAAGAAGACAAAAAAGACAAAGGAGAGCTGTAGTAAGCATTTAGTAGAGGAGGTACGAAGGAAAACAAATTTGTATTCCAGCCTTCAGTTTGGAGTGTCTGGTCGTATGCTCTTGATCTGGGATATGAATGGACTTGCATGAAGGGGCTGTTCAGCAGAGATTGAATCCTTTGTTAATAGATGGAGCTTCCCTATTTGTATTTGAGGTGATTTTAATATTATCAGTTTTGTTCAAGTAAAGGAGGGGGAAGGCTGTCACGTTAGATGATTGAATTCAGGGAGTTTGTCTACAGGTTGCAGCTATTGGATTTGCCATTACAGAGAGCGGATTATACATGGAGCAGTTTCAGAGATAACCTGGCTTTGTCTAAACTGGACAGGTTTCCATTGACAATAGACAGGATGACATGTTTCCAGCATAGTTGTCAAGGTGACTAGGTGGTTTTCCATGGGCGCTTCGCCCAAATGCCCCAGGTTTTGTATACTAGGCGCCCACCCAGAGACTTAAGCGGGTGCCTAGGCGACTAGGCGGGCACCTTTATACAAGGTGGGCACCTACATACATCTAATATATATATATATTTTAATTTGTTATTTTGATATTTTATTAGATGTTTTATTCTTTTAAAATAAAACCGGTTACATACTATCATTATTTTATTATTAAGATAAGAATACAAAGCCTGTTTCTTCTTCTTTGGTTACATGAATAAGGGTTTTTTTCGGTTCTATTGGAGAGGGAGGAGAACTGAAGACTTCATTCCCCAGCCCAACTCCATCGCTCCTCAGCTTCAGCAGGTAAGTTTTTCTCATCTTCCAGCCCAGCTTCAGTCATTGTTTGCTTTTTTTTTTTCGAAAAAACAGGGGCTCCGCCCCTATACTCCTCCCTTCCTCCACAGCTCCACTCATTCTTCTTCTTCCGCCCCTGATTGTTCTCAGTCATAGTCCTAGTCTCAGTCCCTTTTTTTTTTTTGAAAAAACAGGGGTTCCGCCCCTATACTCCTCTCCGCCCCTGACTGTTCTCAGTCGATAGTCTCAGACTCTCAGTCCCTTTTTTTTTTGAGAAAACAGGGGCTATACTCCTCCCTGCTCCTAATCCCCTATACTTCTTCTTCTTCCTCTTCTTCTTCCGCCCCTATACTCCTCTCCTCCCTTCGTAGTTCCTGCACTTATTTATTTATTTTTTTCAATTAATAGTTAGTGTACATGCTTGCTAGGTAGTGTATAGTTAGTGTACTGTGTACATGCTTGCTAGTTATATGAAATTTAAAGTTTTATACTCATTTGAATGATTTATAGAGTTAATAGTTAGTGTACATGCTTGCTAGTTAGCACACAAAACCAATAAAATAGCTTACAAAAGCATAGATAAAGTAAAAACTCAAGAAAATTAATATTTTAAAATTCCAACGCCTAGGCGACGCCTAAGCGCCTAGGCGCCTGGGCGCCCTGTGGTCGCCTAGCCTCACCTTGGCGCCTTGAAAACTATGGTTTCCAGGTTCAGTACAGGTGGCGTTAGCTCGGACAACATCTGATCATTGGCCAATTCTTTTGAGAGTGGGGGCTAGAAACAGAATGCCAGGGCTCTTCAAGCTGGAGATGATGTTGTTCCAGATCCCTGGGTTCTTTGGCAAGTTAGAGGAGTGGTGGAATGAATCCCAAGTGTCTGGTTCTGCATGTATGGTGTTCTGGAGGAAGTTAAAGTACTTAAAGAGCAAAATCAAGGCCTGGTGCAAGGAAGAGGTTGGATGTCTCTCTCATAGAAAGTCTAAGGTTTTGGAGGTAACCCAGAGGCTGGATGTAAAGAAGAGGTTGGGGTTCTTTCTGATGCTGAAAGGAAGGATAGAGAAGCAGCTAGAGATGCTTTTGGTTGGTTAGCACTGATGGAGGAAATATAAACCAAGAGCCTATTGGTTAAAGGAGGGTGATAGGAACACTTCTTTCTTTCACAAGATAGCTAATCTCAGAAGAATAAATAAAATCTCAAGCATTAAGATCAGGGATAGGAGGTTTGAAGGGGAATTGGAGGTCACAGGGGCAATTGTGAATTTTTGTGAGGACCTGTTTGCAGCTCATGAAGTGGAGGGGCCAAATTCAGATGGGGTTCAATTTGACTCGATTTCAGCTTCTTGTTTGAATCCTGTAATATGTAGCCACTTGAGAAGTCATTTATGAAGTGATATCATTGTAATGTTTATGGCAAAATTCACAGATTTCAAGAAGACTTCTGCTGTGTTGTATGCTTTTTGAATTGATTTATCCACTATGCATTCAAGTGCCTGGTTTATTGTCATCTTGTATTTGTCTTCTTTTTTATGCATGTGAATTGACTTACATATGGGATGTATTTATATATCTGAATATACAATATTTTGGATGGACAAAAATTGTTGGTCGTAGCTATATATTTTAATTTGTTAGATGTTAAATTGCTAAGGTTGTGACAGTCCATACATAAGGGGTATTTATTATTTTCCTTGGTGCTGCACACAGGCTCTTGTAAGTCCATTCCTTCTAGATGATTCGATGGATAATATGGTTGAGCATTGTTTGAATATTGCCCCTGGTAAACAAGAACCCCATCAGTCCAAAAGACATTACTGTATTTGCAGTTTCTGCAAATTGACATTAGTCTTAATTTTACAGATGACAAACAGGCCGACAATAAAGAGGATCTGGTTGTTGATGAATTTACTAGCAGCAGTTATAACCTTCTTAAAGAGCTTGATCCAGATTCTGTAAGGCGGATTCATCCAAATGACCATAGAAAAGTAAGGGTTTTGAATAATTTTCTGGTGCCTGTGCCTTTCCCTAAAAAATCAATAAGTGATGTTTTTTTGTCTAGATTTTAACTCGTTAATAAAATTTTTAAAATATATAACAAATTGAATGGTGACTCATATATAACAATATATGTATGTAATTTTGATGGGAAGAGGGGGCTTCAAATGATGTGATAGAAGAGAAAGATTTGCATTTGTTTTTTAAAAAAATCAAAAGGAATTAGCAATGGTCATTTGGTGCATGTGACAAAGCTTTTCTCATGATTAAAGGTGGGGGTTATTGGAGCTGGGCCTTGTAATTGATTCAAAAGGATTTATAATAAGAAAAGAGTGAGGAGGGTTAAAGTTCGAAATCAAAAGGAGAGTGGTAACCAAGGTTCTTTGTTTCCATAAGGTGTTAGTGGAAAGTGGAAGGGTGGGGCAAAATCAAGTTTTTCAGAGAGAGGATGTGCTGAAGGTGTGGAGGGGCAACAGGAAGAAAAGGAACGACGGATAATCAATTGAGAGTGGTTGACATAACTCTGAGAAGAAGTTTGATATCAATAAATTGGTGAACGTGGATGTACAAGTGAGTCAGTCTCTGGTATTGTTTTTCTTGGGTGGGTAGGAGTTTGCAAGACGAGCTTTTTTTGGAGTTTGAGTCTAGAAAGAATGAAGATGACTCAAAAGAAATGTGAAAGGAGCAGGAGTTTGAAGAAGTGTAATGGAGGGTCTGGACTCTGGAATTGGTATGAAGTCTTGGTTCAGGGGGGTTTTTGTTTGAGAGAGGATGTAGTAGTTTTCATTAATGGTTGTGTTATGTGCCTTAGGAGAACTCACCCCTAAAAGCTAGCTGTTAGAGGGAGGGAACCCAAGCACATATATACCCCACAATAGCATCCCATACTACCGATGTGGGACACCTCACATTAGCATTCCATACAACCAACATGGGACAAATGGATCGTAACATTCCACCACGTTCTGCAGTCCCAGTGCCCATGCAGGCTGGCTTTGCACTAGTCCACCTAGTCCCGGCCGAACACTGCAATACTGACGTCACCACCTGCGCCGCATGATTGCAACTAGGAGGCATAGTGTAGGCTCTGATACCATTTGTTAGAGGGAGGGAACCCAAGCACATATATGCCCCACAACAGCATCCCATACTACCGATGTGGAATACCTCATGTTTTCATCCCATACTACCAACATGGGACATATGGATTGTAGAAGGTTGTTGTTAGAAGTGGGGCGAATGAAAGGAGGGGGGGGGTTCGATTGTGTGTTTTGGGATAGAATGAGGTCCTTGAGGGATGTTGTAGGGACTCAATTGTTGGTTGGGATGAGTATGGGCAGGGGGCTTTTATTGGTTTGACCTCTCTTCACTGATATATATATCACCATTGTAATCCTTTTTCTTTCCTTTAATAAATTTTCTTTTTGCTAGCAAAAAAAATATTATGTGAAGAGTCTCTTTAAACAGAGAGACGAGATTTGCATCTACTATTGTTAGATGAAAGCAATCTTTCCTTTCACTGTTCTTTCTTCTCTTCTACCTTATCTCTTTTTTCCTATTCCTTTTTCATGACATGAGAAGAAACTTAAAATGACTTCTCCACTTTCTTTTTTTAATGTGTATAATTTCTAATTTTCTATTACATATACCATCTGTCAACCATGTTCTAAGACACACACACACACACACACACTTAGAGCAACGGTATGCATATAATAAAATAAAAGCATATAGTATACTATTTTAAATAGTTAGAGATAAGTATAGGCAAAAATGCTTCAAACAATTTTGACTCTGTCAACTGGTTATTGACGGACAAGTAAATGTTGATGCCTAGTTGGTCTGGCCCTCAATTGACTAGTCAACTAGTCAACTGTTTGATAAAACTGAATTGAATATTCCCACATCTTAGGATTAGATCATACTAAATATCCTTTGTAATCCAGTTAGGATGCAAGCATTCATTTACTTTTTATCAGTATTTTTTCCTGGTTTGAGGACAGTAAGAGATAAGAAATTGCTAACCTTGCATCTACTAGACATTACATGCATGATTCTATGACATTGCATACTTGAATGGAACAATTTCCATTGAGGATATACCTGCAAGTTCTAAAATGTAGTGATTGTTCAGAAAAGGTAAAAGGTATCCTGGAATAATTTTGTAACTAGTTACATGAAGATTTTGTGCTTGGGATTTGTTTATGTGCTGGTCATGGACCAATATTACGATCTGTATAAGAATGTGTTCTGTATCCAGTATTTAAATAGCACATGATATATATGATTTATTGAGACTTGGAATATTTTACAGAAGACACACCCCTCAACTCAACATGGTAAGAAAAACCGTACTTGCTATTCCGGTTTTTATATTTTAGTTGGATTATTTAAATGTTGTTGCTATGTGCAGATAAACCATTTTCTTGGCTTGTATGCACGCACTGGTGTTCTCCCTAGCAAACTTTTGCAAGGAAAGGCTTCAGAGGTTTGTACTTCTTCCTGGTTAGGGTCATTCTTGTCATGTTTATGATCTAGTTGGAGCCCTCCTTTCTGTTGTCTGGAGTTTGGCATGTGCTGGAAACTTCAAAGAAGAATGAAAATGTGATGGGTATCTGTTCTAAAATGGTTTCTAGCAAGAATTTTATTTCTTTATTTATTTTGCTAGATAAATTTGGAAGTGGGGGTGGGGATGATGAAAGCAGGATTTGATCCCAGGCTGGGGGAATCACATCCACTGACTTCACCATTTGAGCCAGCAGGCACCTTTAATTTCTATCAGGAATTGGTGCATGCATATTTTTTCTTCGTTAGGAAATAGATAAATTTTTAGAGATACTAAAGCAATGAACTTCTATGTTTCGTTCTTCTAATGTGTGAGAATTGTGCAAATGCCTAGTAAGCAGAGAGTTCATGAAGCAACAAATATAGGGAGCACTTTTATATTTCATAGTCCAAAGATTAATGCCATGAATAGGTTTGTTGGGTAACAATTGCTTAGTTTATATATAAATAGCAATTACTGTTTTTAATCAGCTATAAATGGCAATTACTATACCTATGTCTATGTCTTTTCTCTCTGATCATCAATCTTGTCAGGACCATTCTATTTGTTTTCCAATTTTTGTTTAAGAAGGCAAGAAGTATGATTGGAGTTGAGTCAAACCTGACTCACGTGTAAAATGATTTTCTAATGTTGAATGTGGCAGGGCAGAATTGGGGCCGAGTGGATAATTTCAGATATAATTGCTGTTTTATATGTGTGGATGCTTCTCTCCCTGTGTTGGATCGATATGTGGAAAAGCGAGTAGACAGCATGGTTGATGCTGGCTTACTAAATGAAGTTTATGATATTTATGGCCCGACTTCAGATTACACTCGGGGGTTGCGGCAGGCTATTGGTGTGCGCGAATTTGAAGATTTTCTTAGAATATTTCATTCCAATACAAATGCATCTCATTCTTGTATCACAAATGCACATTATGACTCAAGTGCTGGGGGTGGCACGAGTACATCGACAAACAAGGGAAATATGATTTCAAGAGAGAATTTGAGGGCTATTTTGGATTTCTCTGATGATGACTATTACAAAATTATCTTACAAGAAGCTATTGACAAGCTAAAAGCAAATACCAGAAGACTTGTTCGTCGTCAAGTATGTGTACTACTTTCACATCTTTATGTGTCATGCTTTCTTGCTTGCACATGCATTTCTGGTTGAGGCATGATAAAGCATACTTATCATACTGTAGTTCAATTTTCAGAAAGAATTGGGTATATTTTTTGCTTAGTACAACTCACATTACTCACCTCAAAGCTCATCTTAGCATTTATCCCCAACTTTCTAGGATTGGTTACGTGAATCGTCTTCTGTCATTATTCTGTATCAGGAGTCAAATTTTATGTCAAATCATACACCCTTAGATTATTTTCAGCACTTAAACCCATGCTTTTCGTGGTATTCTCCATGCTCTTTTAGAACCTTCTACTTGTATCAACTTACTCCTATTGGTGCAATTATTAGTCATATATGCACCAGATCAAACCATCTCGGTCAACTTTTACTCATCTTGTCACTAATTGGAACTACTCCTAGGTTCTCTTCAATGCACTTTTCTTTCCTTTCTAATCTTTTTACTCATCCATCTCAACATTCTCATCTTGTCCATGGTTGAAAATGTCTACATATTTCCATTTCCATGGGTACTGATATGAAATATTATTGGAATATATCTTGACAAATTTCCTAGTGCATTTAAAATATTTTATATTGTTCTGAACAAGTTTTATTTTGCTAATTAAATCAACATCGGGTTTTCAATTTATATGTACATAGATATCATCCAAATATTTTGTTTTAAGGGTAAATTTCTTAAACTACCCATATGGTTTAGCTAATTGACTAAGTGTACCCTTATGGTTTGAAAATTGACTAACAATACCCCTTACTGCTTTTGACAATTGACTAACTCTACCCTTACCATTAGATTCTGTTAATATTCCGTCAAAACTCATACGCACATGACATATAATTTTTTAAAAACCTAATTTTTTACCCTCTACCTCCGACCTCGCCCTCTTTCATTTTACCCTCCACCTCCGACTTCCCCCTCATTCACTGTAGATCTCTGATCTCTCCCATTTTCTCTCATTCTCTTCTCAAGAACTACTAGAATTGCAGAGGGCGAATGCTATAGGGGAATCACAATTACAACTTTCCCCCTCTTCCTTTTCCCTCTCGTTCTCTTCTCCGGAACCATCGGAACTGCAGAGGTTGGATGCTAACATTTTTGCTCTTGCAAGTGTTTCTCGACCATCTAAAACTCTGTTCAATTATTATCCAACGAGATGTTTGTTGGGTTCTCTGTATCAAAGGACACTTCAGGAGAAGAGCAGAGGATCCTAGCTTGGAGCTTTAGTAATAAAGGATTTGACTCTTTGCCTGACATAAACACAATGAAATTGCCAAGTTTCACACCGCATCTTCCACATTCACAGCCGTCATATTTTGTGGGAGCTATATTAGGAATCACTGTTTATTCTTTCGCCGTTATTGGTTTTGGCGAAGGAAGAGGAAAATCCGAAGAGGAGGACAACATCAAAGAATGGGAGCTTGAGTACTGGCCCCACTGGTTCTCCTTCCAAGAGCTTAACGAAGCAACAAATGAATTTCCAAAAGAAAATCTTCTAGGGTTCGGTGGTTTTGGCAACGCATACAAAGGAACTCTACCAACAACATAGAGGTTGCAGTCAAATGCGTCAACCATGATTCCAATCAGGGATTGAGAGAGTTTGTGGCCGAGATCTCAAGCATGGGCAGGCTGCAACAGAAGAACTTAGTCCACATGAGAGGGTGGTGTAGGAAAGGCAGTGAGTTGATGTTGGGGTGGGAGGGACGGCGAAGGGTGCTCATCCATGTAGCAGTGGGCTTGAATTACCTACATCATGGGTGGAACCAGGTGGTGCTGCATCAACATCAAGTCTAGCAATATATTGTCTTCTCTAGAACCGCCACACTTCTCCGAAATTGCAGAGGTCGGCGCTCCTCTTGTTCTCTTCTCCAGAACCGTTGCAACTACAGAGGTTGGATGTAGAGGTCGGCACCCCTCTTGTTCTCTTCTCTGTAACTGCTGCAAATGCAGAGGTCAACACTCTGAATGTTCCATTGGTTACTGCAGTTAAAAGGTTGGGGAGCTTCGATTTTGCCTTTGGCCTTCGTTCTACTGGTTACGGCAATTAAGAGGATGCATACAAGGACTGGAGGAATCATCGTTTGAACAATTCCACAGGGATCGTGTTGCAGTGGACTAATGTCTTTGTGAAACCTTCAAGAACAATGCCCAGTTTGGTGTTACTCTGAATTAGACCAAAGCCCTGGGGCTTCTTGCCGCATATGGGTCAACCCATATCTGAGTATCTCTCAGATCTGCAAGAAACCCAGATCCGGTCATTATCTGCTGTTCTGGTAGTTCCAGCGAAGAAAATGAAAGGGAGAGGGGGAGATCCGATAATCTATAGTGGAGGGTAAAATAGTCTTTTTCATATATACGTTGACGGACGCTAATGATAGTGTTAGTCAATTTTTAAACAGTAAGGGTGCACTTAGTCAATTAGCTTAACCATAAGGGTAGTTTAAGACATTTACCCTTGTTTTTAATATGAATATATTCTCTTCAAACCCATAATATTTTTGAGTTTCATTATAGATGACTTTTTCCTTTTTATTTTCCTTTATGAAATTGAAATNTAATATGAATATATTCTCTTCAAACCCATAATATTTTTGAGTTTCATTATAGATGACTTTTTCCTTTTTATTTTCCTTTATGAAATTGAAATATTTTTAGTTCAAACATTTGACAAAGAGTTGGAGGAGTTGGACAGATTTCTGCCTGGATTGAAGACATTTGATATTATAGAGTAATTGAATTGAGGTATGGTTTGTTCCTCCTCCCTTCTTCGTCTGGGCTGGAAGGTTCCAGTAAAGTAGGGGATAACAGGAGAACCATGGAAGTTGAAGAGGGTGGTGGAGGGTGTAGATCAAAGGAAAATTTCTGGGGAGTGTGACAGGCTTGAAAAACAGCACAGGGCGTATAACCGAAAGAGAAGATTTTCAAGTCAAGGAAGCGGAGGGGTTGGGGGTGCAAGGGGAGAAGTGGAAAAATGGGAGGTGGGGAAGGAAGTAAGGGAAGGAGGAGAGGTGACAGAGGACTTGAGAGAGGGGAGCTTTTAGGTGAAGAAATTACTGTTTAGATGAGGGTGGATATTGAACAACAGGTGGAGGTGGGAAAACCACTTAGCTTATTCTTTCTGGGTGAGGAGAGAGTGGTCAGAAAGGCAATTGAACAATTTGAAAGGAGTAGGAGGGAAGAATATAGTAAGAAGAAAGCAGTGGGGGAGGGGGGAGAGGCGTGGAAGGTAAAGGGCAGGAGGAGGACCTTGACGAGGAAGAGTGAAGGGGAGCGACTGTGAGAAATAAGAGAGGGAGGGAGGGGTGGGGTGAGTGAAGGTGGAAATGAAGTTGCTATCTTGGAATGCCAGGGAAATGAGAAAAGGAAGACGGGTTCTGGTTAGAAATGTGCTGAGAAAGCATAATCTGATATTGTGTTGTTGCAAGCTAAAACTCAGGAAGCAAGACAGCCAGGTTAGTTTGGAGCTGTTTACCTTTTGCTATCTGCTGGAATATATGGAAAGAAAGAAATAGGCGAGTGTTTGAGGATAAAGATTGGAACTTGGATAGGCTTGTGGCAGCTATTGGAAAATTCGTAACAGATTGGGTCTTGGTTTTGCCAGAATTTGATCAAGCAAGTCAATAGAAGACCTAGGGGACAGTCTTGGGGAAGTTTTGGGGTTACAAATTTGTAACCTGGATGATATGTTTTGATGTGGTTTTCTTTTTCTTTTGTTTTGGCATGGTGTTGTTAATCCTTTGTTGTGATTGTTTGTGTTAGCATAGGGCTATTTCTGTCTTTATTACCTAGATTGAGGTTGCTGATCTGTAATGTTGTGTTAGAACCAGTGCTCCTTACTTAAATAAGGGCACATATGTCTTTTCAATTAATTTTAATAATAAAAGCAYTGTCTGGCCGAATGGGAGGAATGGTCTTTTGACTTCCAGTTCGAACCAGACTTTCTCCTTTTCTCTTTCTCTCTTTCTTTCACCTTTCTACCTCTTTCTACGTGATTGATCTCAGACAGATAGAACTTCAAGGCAGACCGAATCATAACATGGTATTAGAGCAACTCAAATCTGCTTAGATTTCTCTTCTTTGCGCACCCAATCTAGGGTTTCTCTTGATTTTTTCTGAATTCAACTGGAGATAAGGGAAAGGGCTGAAAAGGAGTGATCGCCCTCCCCCCTTGGAGGTTTCTATGCCTCTAGTCGTGTCTTGTGTGGTCGGTTGCTGTGGTTTCTATGCCTCTAGTCGTGTCTTGTGTGGTCGGTTGCTGTGGTTTCTAAGCCCTCCCCTAATCGATGTAGGGCTGGTTCGTGTGGTGTAGTGGGTGTCTTGTGTGGACTGATTTTCTTCTCGTGTGGTTGTTCCTTCAGTGATAAGTTGTGTGCAGTGTGCAGAATTCAGTGGTAATAGAATTCAGCAGGTGTGCAGAATCGGTGATAACAGAATGGGAGATAACAGTGATTGTAAACCTAATGTGATGGTGCCTACAGCCTACTTGAATGTTTAGATGACCTCTATTAAGTTAAATGGAGAGAATTATGTGCCTTGGGCTAAATCCGTCGAAGTCTTT